CCGGCGGCAGCCAGCCTCCGCAGAGGCAAGTGATGCTCCGGGTGTTTCTCCCTGAAAGCTGTGGTGTGTGGTAGGAGGTGCGCAGTGCCAGGGGAATGGGGCCCTTCTGCACCCTGTCATGGTAAAAGGAAGTAGCAGAGCACAGCAACTTTGGTCAGGACAGCTCTTGAGCAGGCAGTATTAAGGACACTTCTGTTTCTCAAACAGGGAGGAGCTTCAGAAACCTGATGTAAGGAATGGTTTGCTTAGTCATGCTGCACAGAGGTTAATTAGAGTTGCATTATTGTGACAGTCTTGTCTTTTGGTGGCTGTACTGTGAGTAACACATTGGGTACATTTTATGAACAGCAACTCTCTGAGGTGTCTTTAGTGTTGCTTTTTGAATGAGACTGAGCCCAAAATCCTGATTGCTTGTAGCTGCTTAATGATTCAGTTGAGTATTTCTGGAAGAACAGGCAATGTGCTGGGTTACAGTGTCATCAGGAAATTAGTCATATACAGCCTTGCTCCAAAGAGTGGTCTAGATGCTTGAAATTAGCCAAAGTGTAATAATGGACATTTGCGTTCACTCTTTCTCTCGAGGCTATCAAGTATGTCGGGAACAGGCTGCATTTCTTCATGTTTTCCTTTTTTAGTATTGACAGAAACATGAAGTAATCACTTCTAAATCTCTCTTAAAAGCAATTTAATCATGAGTGGAAGCAGAGGATTTTGCTTTGCAGTTGCAAGACGGTTAAATGTCGTAGGGTGAATAGCTGATGCATGACTGGAAAGCAGCAAGTCACTCTGCTGCTGAGCTAAACCCCTGTCACTTAAAAGAAAGCACTTGGACTCAGTCTTTGCACCTGTGATGGGGTTAAAAACAAACTTGCTCCTCAGGCAGGTATTTTGAGGTGTCTTTCTCAGACTTAATGTATGGCGCTCTGGAGAGCAGTCCAAACTGAGAATTAGATGATCGTGGATGAAGCAGACAAGACCAAACCAGTTCTTCTGTTTGTTTTCCTTCTGCAGGACAGATTCTGCATCCCACATGAGCTACGAAAATCCTCCACCGTACCCCGGCCCGGGCCCGACTGCCCCTTACCCTCCCTATGCACAGCAACCGGGTGGTCCTCCTGGCCCCTACCCAGGCTACCCACCCGGGCCGACGGGGCCGTACCAGCCCGGCCAGCCAGGCTACCAGGGTTATCCCCAGTACGGGTGGCAAAACGCACCTCCGCCTCCAGGACCGGTGTATGCGGATGGGCCTAAAAACACAGGTATGCCGAGTGGGATCGCGACCCTTTCGGGCGTGCAAATGCATGAAGACGTCTTGGACTTTGTAACTTGAAGGTTACCAGGGTCTGGCCCTAACAGAGCTGGGGGAGGTGGAGACTTGTCTGAAGTAGTGATTCTGATTTATAGCCTGTTTTCCTGCTTGATTTTGCTGCTGTGTCTCTGAGCGTTTTCTGGCTGTTGGAAGATACTGCTGCGCATCCTTAGTGCTGGTCCCTCAAGGGAGTGCTTATGCTGAGGTTATAAGTGCTTTTTGTTGGCTTTAGATTCGCCACAACTCTCACTCTGCCCACCTTTTGGTTGGGAAGCTTCAACTGATGGCTGCACAGTTAAAGCTTGTAAAAATCAAATGTACAATTCCTACTAGATTAATGTGCATCAGTTTTCTTGAACCCATCAGTATCTGTCTGTGTGATCTGATAGTGCCATTGGAATCATTCCTGGGCTCTTGTTTTTTTCTGAAGTCTTTATTGCTCTGGGGAAGGAGAGGGATGTAACTTATCCTGGCAGCTAGCTGGTCCAGCTGTGTGCTGCGTCCCCTCAGTACGGTGTGCTGGCTTACTCTGGCACCCGCAGCTCTCATGGGGCTCACTGCAGTGTTGGTGCAGGCTCCAATTGGCAGAGCAGGACCGAGAAGATGATTAAGGGAGCAGAGCATCTTGATGTGAGAAGAAGCTGAGAGAGATGGGACTGTTCAGCCAGGAAGAAGACGAGACTCAGGGAGGCCTATCGGTGTGGAAAGGAATGAAAAAGAGGGAGCTGCTTCTCAGTATTGTCCAGTGACAGGACCAGAGGCAACGGGCACCAGCTGAAATACGGGATGTTCCTTCTGGGAGCAAGAAGACACTTTTCTACTGTGAGAATAATCGAACACTGGCACAGTTTGCCCAGAGAGGTTGTGGAGTCTCTGTCTGTGGAGATGCTCAAAAGCTGACTGGACAGTGGTCCTGGGCAGCCAGCTGTAGCTGACCCTGCCTGAGCAGCGGCGTTGAACCAGATCATAGATGATCTCCAAAGGTCCCTTCCAGCCTCAACTCTGGGATGCTGGCAAGGTCGGGTGTGGTCAGTGCCTTTTCCCTGTTGGAAAGGGGAAGGTTTAGCTTGGGTTTTTCGGTGACTCTTTGCTTTGGTAAAGACACTTGCCTAGAGACGAAGGTTATTCTTGTCAGGGTTCACCAGGCTTTGGTTGTGAAATCTCTGTTTGTGCATCATGGGTATGTACTCGCCCCCTCACCATCAGCGTGGGGACTCGTGCTGTCATGCCAACTCCAGTGCTTTTTCAGACTTCTTCAGTGATAAGTGGGAGGCCAGAAACCGTCATCGCCCCTCTTCCTCGGTTGCAGCAAATAGCACAAACACGGACCTGAGCTGTTGAGAAGAGCCTTAAGTACCTCTTGCTGTTCTGGCTGCCTTGGGGTGGCAGAGGAGGTAGCCAGAGGGCTGTTCGGCAGGAGGGGGCATGGGAAGTGGTTCTGCAGAGGTGCTGTCCAGGCACGATGCTTTAGGTGGGAGCTGCTCTCAGGAAGGAGACTCCAGGATTTGTATGTGCTGGGTGTGTCTGGCGTGGTCACAAGAGAGAGTGACCTGGGGTGGAAAGAAATAAGACGTGGCACATACCTCAACCCAAAACCTAGGTCAGTGCTTTACGGCTATGCAAGGCACTCACACTTTGGGTACTACTGCTGTAAAGACTCACTGATAAAGGGTGTATCAAAGCTGCATCACTTGGAAGACTGTCAGGACTGGGACAGATCCCCCAAGGCGATTGCCACTATGGGAAAGTGTCTTTGTCCCTTGTGCATTAAGGTTGTTCTCCATGTACAGTTGTTGCCGTGGCTTGGGACAACGTGCGTTTGCACTTGGGGCCTGTTCAGGACTGAGGTCTGGATGCGTTTGCTGCATTTAGAAGTAACTGCCTGCTGTGCCCCTCCACTGCTTTTTTGTCGCACTGGCTCAGCAGTGCCCTGTGACAAAGGTCTTTTCAAAACCCTTGATTTTTTGGGCAACTGGAACTTGAGAATTTCCCAGTGAGAGTTCTTCAGTGCTGTGAATCCAAAGGAGACTCAGCATAGCTGGGCGTACAGGCTGAACCATGGAGAAGACATTTTCCAGAACTTTATTCTTTTACCTCAATATTCTTGGCTAAAATGTTGTTCTACTGGACCAGGGTATATAAAAGCAACCCTGGATTCATAGCTGATGTGAGATATTGGGAATATTCTGGTGTGGATTTGGTCAGAGAACCTAAATATAAGCAGCAAACAATTGGTGTGAGTTAATGTGTGAATGAGCTCAAATCATGAGTTCAGCTTCCTCTGCCTAAGAGTGACAATTTCAAGATTTTGTCTCTGAGGAGGAGGAGGCAGCACATGTTGCTTCCCATCACATGACCTCAATGTGCAATCAGGGTTTTCCCTGAGAAACGCATATAGTTGTGTTGGTTCTGGGTGGGAAAAATTCTTAGTCTCTCACATAGACTCTCTTTGGTTAGTGCAAGTTTTGTTTTACTGCTACAGCCCCAGAGAGGGATATGCTAGCAGAAGCTGAAGGGAGAGTGGATCTTCTGCTTTGGTCGATCTGGCTTTGAGCCAGATCTGCTGCCTTGGAGGCTTAAACCATCTCCTATCAGGCTGGATCAGGGAACTAATGACACGGAACATCCTCTGCTTGGATCAGGTCTCTGCTCTCCTCGCAAACCCGTGGAGCAGCAGAAAGGAGTGGGCTGGGAGATTGGAGAGGACAGGTAGCTGGGTGTCAGGGTGCCCCTGCCACCAAGAGCCCAGGCGTGTGCTGTGGGACGCAGGGTTTTGTTGTTAAACCTGGACTAACACAACTGCAGTTCTGCAGAAGCAGCACCTTAACCCACAAAGCAAAGATGTGCGGGAAAGTCCTATCTCCACCCTGTGGCCCTGAGTGGGCTCTGAACCTGCCTTGGGAGCCACCAGTTTGCACTGCTTTTGCTGAAGTGGATGTAATGGACAAAAACATGAATAAATGAAGTCAGGGCTATAACTTTTTGTTTGTCTGCAAAAGCTTTTTCTTGATTTTTTTTTTTCCTTCTGTTAAACACTGTTATATTTTACCTCCTTGCTCCTTTTTGGCTAGTCCGTCAAACTGGAACCTGATCTTTGTCCTGTGACGCTCTAGCTAAAGTCTTCTGAGAGCTTGCAGTGAGGTTTCAAGATCGCCTGCAGGAGTGTCTAATATAGAACGGATGTCCCTAAGAAAGCTCATGTTTAAAAGGTCTGTTGTGCTAACACTATGTATCAGTTGGTGTGGCTGAACCTCTAATATAAAAGTCTAAATTTAATCGAGTCATTAGAGTCTGCCTAGCTGATCTGGTGTGTGACTTGTCAGTTCTTGTGGTTTTTCCAGGCAGTAATCTGGTAAGAGCTGCTGTGTGGATGCTTTCAGAACAAACGTTTTGATCTCCTAGATGACTTTGCTTGAACTGATGAATTAAGCTACTCTAAGTAATGCATTGGCATTTCTGAACAAACACGTGTCCACATTGAAAACCAGGAAATTTGCTCTACTTTAAAATGTATGCTTTAAGTTATTGTGTAGGCAGACTGGGCTCACATTGTGGATTGTAGCTGGTGCGCTAATGTGGGGAAGCAATTATGCATCGTATGTTGGTCTTGAGTGAATCAGGCGGATGGAAGTAATTACTTTTGAGCTCTCAAAATCTGATGGTAAAGTAGGATTTCATGGTGATGGTTGTTTTTAATCTAACATTTTGTGGCCTGTCTGGAGTTGCACAACAAAAGGTCTGTCCAGTTGGCCCTTGAAGAAGAAAAAAACCTCATATGGCTCACTCTCTATATTTAAAAGAAAGCTTCATCTGAGACATAATAGGGAGACAGCTTAAACTTAGCACAGGTTTTGTCACCCACACTGCAGAAGGGCTCATGAGCCCCCAAGTCGTGTCTGAAAGGCAGCTGAGGAGGGACCATGTGCTGCAGCCGTGCCTCTCCCCAGCCGGCCCCCCATCCGTCCTTCCCTCCTCGGGGCTGGGACCTCTAAGACCAGACCGAGAGCTCGGTCCCTCTGGCTGAGGCCGTGCTCGGCTGGAACGGGGAAGTTATTACTGTGAAGTGCACAATGACTCTGCTGGAAAGAGGGGAGGGAGGATGTTGTCATCTTTTCGATACGACATTGAGTAGGGGGATGTATGTTGTTGGTGAAAGGTGCAGCCCAGTGCTGAACAAAGAGAAACAAGTGTGTTCCCCTCGGAACTGGCTGTGTAGGATTAGTTAGCCGCGACAGTGCTCTGCAGTTGCGGAAGCCACCTTGTGTTTTACACCTGAAGAGCAGGTGGAGTTGGCCGCGTGACTCCCGTGTGTCAGAGCACACACGAGCGGGAGGCTGCAGCTGATGCTGGCAGCTGGTGGTCCCTTGTCCCTTCTCCCACAGTGGATGGAGTCCAACGGTGCAGGCTTTCCCCCTCAGAGTCACCCCAGCTCCCTCAACAGCGTTGGGCATGAAAAGCCTCAAAGCGTGTGTTTCTTCTCTGGGTGCAGTGAGCCAGAGAGGGCAGGCAACTTGCTGAGGTGGCACGCAAGGCCTCATGACTATGTTGGTTTTTTTTTCTTTGATAACTGGCTTTGGGGCTTGCACAGGCCACCACTAGTGAAGTCTCTAAAGAGGCAACGCTTCTTACATCTTGCAACTTGGTGGTTGTTCATCAGAAGTAAACAACTTGACCTTTGCCTTTATAATTTATGTGCTGAGCCTGAAGACTGTTACCCTGATGCAGCTTCCCAGCTCCTAGAACTGACCTGTGCTCATTTCTATCCACATCTTTCCTGCTGTAAAAACTGAGGGCTGTCTTCATGTCCATCCACACGGAGTCTGCCCGGGTACAAGTTCCTGCAATCTGGTAGATCTGCCATCTGCTGTCACACCGTGCCTTGGGAAGCTCAAGGGAATTCGCCGGCACCAGCACAAAGCTGGGAAACGTGGCTGTGGTAGGAGCACAGTG